GCTGCTTCAGTAACATCTTCCATAATTCTTATATGCAGGTAGGAATCAGATCCTCAGATGCTACAAGAGCATGTAAAAGGTGTTCTGCCATATCCCAGAATTGTGGAGGTTCATGCTGGTTGATTTATAGGGCTGAGTGAAGCAGACAATGCCACCAGGACCTGGGATTAGGCATCTGGAATGTGTAAAGAAAGGCTTGGAGGCCTCTGAGCTGACAAGCATTGCAATAGCAGGGTGCAAAAATTACTGTTGTTACTGCCATTGCTGTCCCACTGAAGGAAATGCCTGCAGCTAAATTTTGTCCACAGTGCTCTCAAATTAATAGGAATTCAGAGCTCATTAGTGTCGTAGGAATGCAAGATGTTCAGCATTTGGCACGACTGAGCGTTATATTTTGAACAGTAATTAGCACAAGGCTCATACTTTCTTATCAGGACATTACAGCAGTATCACTGTAATAAAGTGATTTTCTGCATGGCCTTGAAACATGGCAGAAAAAAACCAAGTAGCTGACTCCAATTAATTTAATAAGCTACTAGAGAGCTTTTAGGCCTTTGTACACTGATAAAAATAATGCAGAATTTTTGGAATTTGGAGAAATAGTGAGATGTCAAGAAAAAAGAAATAGCCTTAAGGCAAATGGTTAAGAATTTTGGAGAGCTGGGCATACTGGAAAGTCTGCTTTATTTGAAGATTGTGGATATTCAGGAAAGTAAAAAACCCCAAAAAAATCACATGGAATAGCATAGAAAATGAGTTAAAATTAATGTTTAAGACTGTAACATTGCTGAAATTGTTTATTTTCCCTTGTATTCTACCTGTTGGTAATTTGGTGCCCATCACATACCTGAATGCAGAATTTATTTTCTTCCTTCTCTTCCTCTGGTTCCTCCAAGTCTTCCCATTCATTGTCACTGTCATGTGCCCCTCTGGCAGGCAGGGATGATGATGAAGGACCACAAACACATGGCTCTTGGGTTGCAGTGGTTGCAGAGACTCTTTTGGAGCTTCTTCCTCGTGGTAGTGAAGTCACAGACATTGAGCTGACAGTGAGATACTCTTCATCAATAGGGGTTAGAGAGAGAGTTTCAGGCATACATTTTGTGTTCAATAGGTCATCATGACTCTTATTAAATACGTGGCTGAAAAATAAAAAGATTGCAGTGCTGGGGTTTTCCTCCATATGCTTTATTAGACGGCCACTGAAAAGTCTACTGTTTATGCATTACCTTATTTCCATTTTAACTGAATTACTAGTTATGGTATTGAATTGCTGTCTGAATCCTCCAATGCTAGAGTAAAAAGAAATAAGTAATCAATATTTTGCAAAGCTACTTGAAATATTAAAAACTTTCATTATTTACCTTTGCAAACTCTTGCACTCCTAATTTTTTTAAGGCATTAATTAGTACTTGGTTGCTTCTTGAAAAGAATAATTGGAAAAAGCCCAAACTAATTATTTCATCTTCCATAAACAAATTAATTAACTTTTCCTGTAAGCAGTATGGACATCAAAATACCACTACAATTTTTATATTAGCATTTTCCTGGAAAAAGGAATGCCACCCAGGTTTCCGTCTTCTACAGGTCTTTCATTGGTAACAGGGCACAGACCAGCAACATGAAATATGAAGTGATTCCTGTTTCTTCATGAAAAGTAGTCCTTACTCCTCTTTATAAGTTTGACTTTATTCTTATGCTTGCCTTGAAGCATATGAGTTGTCTGAAAACCACCAATGGACTTCTGAAATTAATTGAATTTAAATTATTATTGATTCTATTCCACCATATTGCAGACAAAGTATTCAGCACTTTTGATGTTCAAGCCAGACTGTAATCATACATGCTGGGTTTAGTAGTTTTGGCTGTTGTCCTTCATGAAGGACGATGGTGACATTGTGTCCAAAAAATTTACCTTTTAGAGCTCATAAAAATGCTGAAAACACATTTTTAAAGTATGTTTTCTTCATATCAATCCTTATTGAAATTTTGCTAAACATTCATTCATCTTAAAAACATCTAAAATCGCAAATTCATATCTACATCAGCCAGGATCTTTTTCTCTTTGATAGAAGTGAACTGTCCATCATCTCCCAAACAAACTAAACTAAACAACTAAAACTAAAATTAATTGCATGTCCCCTATGAAATCACAGAAGATATCTGTAAAATTCATATCAGAAAATTTATACATTTGCATTAAATATTTTGAGCAATCTGGATAAATTTCTTCATTAATCAAAAGGAAGTTCTTTATTAATGCCTATTTCCTTCTGGGTATTTTCTGTGGTTTTAGCTGGAAGGATTGAAACTGAGATTATGTTAAAAATATTGCTTAAAATGCATGACATCCTAAACTTCTCTGGCTGCATTTTAAAAATGCAAAAGCTGATACTAAATGATACTGAAAATGTATCAAACAAAAACATTTATTTCAGAACGTCCTTCTTGGAAAGAATCCAAAACTTTTCTTGGAATTGATATTTTCCCACAATAAACTTAGTTTTGTTAAATCTCTTGGCAAATATGTTTGCTGCAGAGATAGTTCTGCTGGTTTTACTCAGAAGTATAGAAGCAGATAATTAAGCAGGAGCTTCATTCATTAATTGAGTGAAGATTCTGCACTTGGCCAAGAGATGCTACAATTATGAACTGCCACTATAATCCCACTTGGTTTGCAGTGTCAGGTAGTGCTGTCACTCCCCAGAGATGACTGTCTGGGGCTGTGCTTGATGAGTGTCAAAAGTAACAAAATTATTTCAAATGACTGTATGGAGAAATAGAAATTAATTTCTCCATAAAATTACTAAAGCTGTAAGTTAAAGGCCTCTGGAAGACTTTCAATTTTTTTTTTTTTGCATCAATCCTTTCTGTCCTGATAATTCATATTCATTTGCACTGGGAAAGAGGATGAAAATGGAATTGATTGCCTTCTGTGTGACAGTGTCTGATATATCCAAAGGAGTGTAAAAGGAGACTGAGTCCATTTGCACTACATTTTATTTTGTAATTCCTCTCAGGGGTTATACTGGCTTCTGAAGACCAGAAAACATAAAATAACCCTTTTTCCCCCCTTCTTGATCACAGTTTCTCTGCTGTGGTGCTTTTATTTCCTATGAAAAAAATTGAAAATAAAAAAACAAAAAAAAAAAAAAAAATGTTGGTGCCTATTTAAGTCAACTCTGAAAATAAATTAAAGCAAAAGATCATTTAATCAATAAAGAAGTATTAATTTCCTATTTAGATAAACAGATGTCTTTCCACTGATTTCAAATGGTAACCACCTTCAGCTGAACAGCATAAATGATTACAGTGGTGCAGAACTCTTACAAGCATCTCGCCATGTAGACTTAATGCAAAATTCTAATAAAATGAGAGTAAATAGGAAAAGCAGATTAGGCAAATCAGAATAAGATAATAAAACAAAATCTTCAGTAATCAGGAGTGATTAGAACCAGAGAGCCCTGTACTTAAACCCAAGCAATTAACTTTCAAAGTTCTGAGAGAAAAAGGAAAGGCTGCAGAACAGATTTTGGTATTCCCTACCTTTTGGCCTGTCCAAATTCACATGGTGAGTAGCAGTTCTGCTTCACTTCCTCCTCCAGAGAGTGGAAGACTTCAGAACTGGAAGTTTCTTGACGAGTCTTCCAAAGATGCTTATAGAAACTTTCTCTGGAAGTTGGGAGTGTCTGTATGGGTTTCTCTTGAAAATCAGCTTCCTGCTCTTCATAGGCTGAGCTGTCATCCTCGGGAGGCTCACTGAAATTTTCTCCCACTGGAGAATCCAGGCAGTCTTCGAGGTCTGGAGAGGTGCTACCCCCATCACTGGTAGATTGATCCATACTGTTTCCTGCCTCTGTGCTGCCCGGAATTTCTGCCACAAAATCCTTAATTGGAGATGGTGCTGGAGTCTATCAAAAAAACCAGAAAGGTTAGTGCAACTCCTTTTTACACTCCCATCTTTCTTTCTTCAAGAGCAAAATATTTTGAAAAGGCAATATTAACAAGCTTCTGAATCAGAAAATACCAAATGGTAGCTGGAAGGAAAGAGAAAAAGTAGAAGGAGGTACTCTTACCAAATAACTCTTTAGTCTTAATGGTTATTTTTCACATTCTACAAGAGTTCCAGTCAAAACTACTATACCAAATCACTTTTCCCAATGAATTATTTGCTAGAAGTTCTTTTTTAATATATCTGTTCATGTCATACCTCAATGTTGTGTCTATATTCTCTTCATTCCATGGAAGTAGCTTCCAGACTTGACTCCTGTGCGACTGACCTTAGAAATCAGCCAGGGGCACACTGCAGCAGAGCAGCAGGAGTCAGTTTGTTATCTGCAGATGGTTCTGACTGTCATTTCTGTCTGCCTGTGGGTGGCTATAAATCCTAGTGGGATGGGAACCACCAGTGAGCCATTCTGAATGGAGCAAGAGTAGTGCTAATGCATATTCCTTATTATTAAGAGTACTTGTTACGTGTCCATGAGGTGTCTTCAAGAAGGGAGTAATAATGCTAGCACATCTAATGGCCATGATTTAGTCTCTGCAGTGTCTACAGTTTGGGGGTATTTTTTTTTGTGCTTTGTTTCTCCCCCTGCGGATTCTGCTATCAATAAGAACCTGTATAACTAGTTTAAAATATTATTCCATTTATTTAGCTTCATAAGGGATAGTCTGGATAGGAAAAGTTCTGTATTTTCTTCTCACCTTGGGGAGTTAAAATAGCTGCATTTGAGAATACCTGCATTTTCTGACTAAGGATCAGGTAGAGCATTTTTAGAAGCACCACTAGAAGACCTACTTGGGTATCTGCCGTTTCACTCCAGTGATAGTACAGCAACTCAAAAGTTCTTGGACTTTGATAAACATGTTTTATGTCTGCCAGATTTGTATTATTTTAGTTGCTAAGAAACTATCAGTTGAACTTTGCAGTTTGAGTTGAAACCAGGAAGGGAAATAAAAGGAGAAGAGGGCCTTGGAGAAAAGGGAAAGTTGCCTTGTTCAAAACTGGGTAGAAAATGTAGCAGTGTCTTTCCAGGTTTACAGATGCAAGTTTCTGTCAGAAGCTTTGCCTTACCAGAGCAATCTGCTCTATTTCTGGAAGAACACCTTTTGGTGGTCTGCAAAGTAGCAGTGTAACTTCTCGAGGAGCTCCTCTTAACAAATGCAGGACATCCTAAAGAAAAGAAAGGAATGTTGTATTTCTGATTGAACAGAGTAAATCTTACATGCCATTTTACCAACTGAGATTGAGAAAATTTTTATTGTGAATGTGACATTTCTGGTATTTGTGTCTGTCAGCAGTGTCTGAGGGCCAGTATTTACCACTGAAGGATTGCCACACATAAGGATCATAGTTTATAGGTGAACATGTATCTAAAGTCAATTCTATTTACAAACTTCTGCTTTGCCATCAGGCACATAGGTTTAGGTGAATTAATTTTCTTTTATTGAAGAAAACTGAATTTTCAGGTAAATTAATTCAAACCACATGTTTGTGGCAGTAAAATCTTTGGTCAGTTATTTCAGCATAGCTTGCAATGGCCATATTCCAATGAAAAAAAGAAATCCACATGTAGGCCATTACCATTGAATTTCTTCACTGAGTAGAATTTCTCATTCCAGGTTAAAAACTTACACAGGACTTACCACTCTTGGTAGAAGTTTGAATCTGGGGCATTATATTTAGCATGACATTACAAAGCACAAATGACCACAGGGGGAAAATTGTTCCAATCATGCATAAAAGCAACAAAGATTCCAACTAATTAACAACTGGTGTGCATCTAACAATAGAATTCATACATTAATGGTAGAAACTTAGAAATTAAATATCAGAAGAAATTCGCTGTCAGAATTAATTTAGAAAGGAAATTCTACATAGGAGTTCTAGAGAAGAATCCCACATAGAAATCAGAATAATTATATGCAAATTCTGCCTTCCTCTGGTGATAATTAAGTTTAAATGTATTGTCTTTATTAACCTGTTACCCAGATGGGGCCCCAGTAATGACACTTCCTGCTACCTGATACAGGAGCCCTTTGAGAGGTTTCCCATTCACAGATAAAATGACATCTCCAACTTCAATTTCTCCACTCTCTTCAGCTGGCTGCCCTGGAAACAATCTTTTGATCCTGACAATAGCTCCTCCAAGGTGTTCGCAAGCATCTCCTTCCATCTGCAGAACACTAAATCCAAGGCCTCCAGAATTCTTGGTTAATTTCACTCCAAATATGTTATCTGCTCAAATCAGAGATTGGGAAAAAAGTGGGAACCATGGCATATGCACCCCATGAGGAGCCAGTATAAACTATATTCTCAAAAGACTTTTTCCCTGTGTGCTGCAGAGGTAGATCTGCTAATAATAACAAAGTCAAAAGAAGGTTTAGGTGTTCCTTTATCTTATGTCTTTGAAATCTCACAGTCAGGATAGGGAGAACTGGAATCTATTCCACCATGTGTTCACAGCGTGGTACAAGCCCATAAGACAAAAAGCTTTTTGGAACAGCATAAAGAGATTCACATGCTATCTTTTTCTGATTTTCTTCTGTAAGTGTTGCATAGATTTTACTATTCTGTAGCTGCCTGGTGTTACTTCAGGTTTTGCACTAACCAGCATAAACTGGAATTGGAGCTACTGCTCTTTCCAGTCAAGAATGAGAGATCAGGCCTTTCCCAAACACCATGCTTGTAAGCTGAATTCCAGTGTAGAGTAGTAACTGCCCTATGAAAATGTATGGTTCAGACTTAGTGTTTATGAGACAATCTTCAGTAAAAGATACAGCATTTATTTGTTGGCTAAATTCTGTATAAGTGATCTCTAAATCTTCTGCTTTTAAGAAGTTAAGTGACGGCAGTCTCCCGTTCACTCCAGCTTCATTGCTGTCACAGCATCAGCAGTTGTGCTGCTGGGGCTCTCCCTGGATAACAGCCTGGCCACATCAACACAGCTAATTCCTGCCCGAGACTGCTGTGGAGTACAGGCAGGGGTGTTCCCTTGCCAGCCCAGTCTCACAAAGGCTGAGAGATACAGTATTAATGCCTAGGGTATGTGCAGCTATATCTAGCCACTATAACTCTATGAACATCAGAAATACTTTTTTCAGAATTGATTTTTGATTGTGTCATTAATATTGATTATCATTTTATTCAGTATACAGTTTTCCTTCCAACCCACAGAAATTTCATCTAATTATTTTCATTCATTCCTTTCCTGCACATACTGTAAGAAGTCACCCTGAGTTCCCCCTTTATCACTTACCATCTGTCAAAAAGCAGCAGTCCTTGGTGCCATCTGTGAGGGATGTTGCCACAGAAACAACTGCACGGTGGTCCTCCTTTCTGTCATTAGCAGTCAGACAAGGCTCTGCCAATTGGTAGTTTCCCCTTTCTAGAACAAGTTTGGCAATCTAAAACAGTGATAAACAGGTTCTTACACAGCACACTTAGTGAGTCCTAGGTCTTTTTACTTTTCTGTTTAGAGGAATGGGGTTGGAACAGAGGGCAGATGGTTCTTTTGTCCAAGCTTGGCTACTGTGCTTCATACAGTTTAGTTTACTTTGTATCTTATTGATCTCTTCTGTTGTACAAACCTGGCCAGATTTCTTAAGGTGTTCCACAGCCTGTTTGTGGGTGATGCCACAGAGGCTGATGCCATCTACTTCCAGCAGACGATCACCTGCGGTAAAAAAAAAAAGAACATCCAATTGCTTTGATGTTCAGGTTCAGAAGGTGTAAACCTTGAGGCTGCCCATGTTACGATAGGTCTTTATGCTTACATATGTCAAATTAATATTAATTCATAGGAAAGCAATACTGCTTGCTGCAGAGCATTCTATAACCAGCAGCTAAAACATGCCAGGGTATTCTGTAAGTAAATGCAGTGGCAGCATCTGGTTAGCACAGTAACAATGATGTCAGAGTCACTAGCCTGATGGCAGCCACAGAAGGAAACTCTACAATGCTGGTGTGAGGCTTCAGGTTTTTTCAGTGGGATCCCTACACGTAGCACAGGGACAGGCTGAGGAATGATGGATCATATATTTATTATACTTCGCAGTTGTAGCCCCTCCAATCCCAAATGTGTTTCATTGTCCACACTAACAGTGAGTTCTGCAGCCCAGGGTTTTATTGCCAGATGTGTTACCTATCTTTATTTGTCCGTCCTTATCTGCTGGTCCCCTGGGAATGATTGACTTCACATATATCCCACCATGACGCACACTGGTGTTAATTCCACCCTGCAAAACATGCCCAGAGATTAGAGTCTTCATATATTCTTCCTGTGGTAAAAATCAAAGCAACTTACACATGCATTGCAAAGTAACTGCTCAGGAATTACTTTCTTCTTTAAATATTAGGAAAAAGGGAAAGAGGATATTACTCCAAAACCCTATCTAGTTGTAATATACTTCCATAGGCAGTAATCTTATTTTATTTTCTCAGGAAAATGCAATGTATTTCTGTGTTACTATATAAAAATATTCACTAAATGTTCATAAATTTTTCCCTATGCTCATATAAAATGATCTTGCATCTTTCAGTTATTCTCTAGCCCAGCTTCTAAGCTGTTCAATATCCATTCTTCAATTTCAATCTTTCAGACAATATATCAAGAATGGACCTGAATTTGAGCACTCAGAGAAATTCCAGATTAACCTAAGAATCATGTTCTGTCCATCTACATCCCCTGGCCAAATTCAGATGAAAAAAATGGCCCTTAATTTCTTCTGCAGGCAATGTCTGTTGCTTCACATTTCATTTCAGCAAAGACTGTAAAGACATCTTAGCCTGGAGGGGTAAATTCAACTTAAATAGCTAGGAGAAGGACTTGTTATCCAAATGTAGCAGTTTTCACTGCTGCCTTCTCTAGTCCTCTGTGACCAAACTCTGATTTCAGTGGTAGATCTTGTTCTCAAATCGAGTAAGGACAAAAAATGTTTGTCCCTACTGCCATGTGCTTTATGCCAGGACACTTCTTTCACAGAAGGGGTGGGTAAGAACCAGGGAATGAGCAGACACTACTTCATGTCAATCAGTTGGACACTTAGGTTTAAAATGTGCCATGCTAACAGTTTCTGTTATCAGCCTATCTTCTCTCTTTGTTCTCAGTCAGGTAACAATTTGACAGACAATTAAAGATTATCAGGAACACTTGCAGTCACACTGATTCCAAAAGTCCCGTCTTCTTTAACAAGCTCCACCACATAGACTTCCCTTGAGTTTGTTTCTGATGGAGATGGTAAGTGAGAAGAATCAGCTGCCTGTCTCAAAAATAAAAACTTTAATGAGATTACAGCATCTTGGTTTAAAAAGGGGAGGGAAAGGAATTAAAAAAAAGAAAAAAAAAAAAGAAAGACAGCATTTCCAGAAGATGTAGATGGTTTGATCCTGCTGTCACTGTAAACCTGGAGCGATACCATTTATATCTCTGATATTATTGGAAGCTTAAGCTAATGCTACTCAGAATGCAATCTGTCTAAAAGCACATAACCTGAGTATATATAGGGAGGATGTCTAAAAATAGGAAATTAGACATGGCATGTTCTGTGACTAGTGTGAAAATTTAAAAGATTGCAAGAAAATAATAAAAATTTTGTCCATTCCCTGGGAAAGGAAGGAGAATGTTTAAAACATTTTGTAGAACAGTTTACCCATGTATTCACATATTCTAGACATGTCTATAATTTTGGCATTTCCAATGTAATTTATTTTAAGGTTTTCTATCTCCTTTCCTTCACAGTTACTTTCCCTTCTACATGTATCTGGTATGTTGTGTATATATGCTGTGTACTGGGTGTAACATTACTGAGCAGCATCAAAATCTGTTACCTTTATATCCAGGCTATCAGCTGAAGGAACTGCAATCCTAGAGCCCAATTTTGATGCTAGATTCCAAGAGAGAGTCTTTTCAAGGTCATCTGTATTTGTGTCCTGTTCTTTGGGGAGAGCTGTATGACAATCCTGAATCTTTTTTCTCCCACTGTCTACACAAGAGATCTCAGATCCACTAGTGCTGTTTCCTCTTGATAGATTCTTTTCTTCATTTAGTCCTTCTTCATACATGTCTGTAAACCCATGCCAAAATAAGATATTGTTGAATACAAATAGGAAGTAAACTTAAAGAAAAATATTATTAAAACCAGCACAAGTGGAGAAAGTAACTTATTCTTTCAACAGATTGTGAAAACAGATGTATAAAACGAGTTAGTAAATTTAAAGTGGAGCACTGCTATTGTAAGTGTCCAGAAATGTGTTTGCTTCTTTACTGCAGAGGACTATGACTCTCTGTCACAGAAAGAAATGCTGAAATTCCTTTAGTGTTCAGCAAGGCAGCCCATAATAGATTTTTTCACACTGATGTGGCAGAGACATCACATGATACCTACCAGAAGTCAGCTATTTTCTAACTGGCAGTCAGTAGCAGGAATGTAGTACTACATCCCAGTGACTATTAAATATGAGTGTCCTGAGTTAACTATTAGCATCCCAGAGCCAGCAGAGGCATTGGCCTTTATACCTTTGGGTTGAGAGATGATGAGCTCCACTTCATCGGGAGAGTTCTGTATGATTTTAACAGCAGTATTAAATGAAACACCCTCAAGGCTAATATTATTCACAGAGATGAGTCGTCCTCCTTAAGAAAAAAAAGATAAAAGCAAGAGAAAGCACATCTAAATAAGGAAATAAATCCAGAATAGCTAACTTTAAACTATGCAAGTATTTTAATTCTAATTAAAAAGTATAGGAAATTACCTGGTTTGATATTTCCAGCTCTGTCTGCAGGTCCCCCAGGGATAATTGAAGCGATAAAGATACCAAGGTCTAATTTTCCTACATTTTCTCCTCCAATAATTACAAAACCTGCAAAAATGAGATAGCATGAGAATGCAAACACTGGCAGTATTAAAAAAGATAAATCTTAGGAGCACAAAATGCTCTTACTCCAATACCTTTTGTACATGATCTGAAGGATGGGGAGTTTTCTTTTACAGGGCATCAAAGTCTTGACTTGGGAGAGCTTTAAACTTACATTACAATTATAGTGTGCTGGTGACTTTGGTTACTACTTTGATATAATTTCCCAATAACAATGTTTTCCTGGCTCGATATTTTTAGAGACTCTAACTACTTTCTTTCAAGAGTCATGAACTAGGTGCACCTGCAGCATTTAACATCTGCAGGTGGGAAATGGTATAAAAGCTCATGAGATAAATTTGAACCTCATTCTATATCATGCAACCAGGAAACCTGAGGTGGCTCATGTAAACTTTTAATGTAAGAGATCCAAGAAAATTAAATCTATTTTTCAGTAGTTCATTTTCACTATCCTAACTCTGACTATTGAAATATATTATTCTCACTTCTATAATAGTTGGATTTTGGATTAGGATATTACACACAGACATGCACCATTTATAAATTTGATTTTTAACTGTATTAATAGTAATTTGTGAAACCTGATGGTCTGAACTCATCCAGAAGAACCTGATAGTGTGATTAAGGTGTTAGATAACAAAAATGTTATCCAGATAACAATCCAAAAGTTGAGAAACATTCATGTGAAGTTGGTGTAAATATTTTGCACTACAACAGGCACCACATGTAAGGTCTAAAATAAATAAAATCAGCACATGTGTATTTCAGATACAAAACTAAAACCATGTTTTTCTCATTCTGCTCTTAAGACTTGATTCCTGTGATTTTTGTGGCCTTATTTAATCCTCTGAAAATATAATAGTCTTGATTTATGTGCTTAGTCCTTTTCAGTCCTGGAAATTCTGAGTCCTTTACAAAGACTGGTACTCTTACTCTGTAAGAAGAATAAATGGACTAAGGGAGTTTATAATAGTCTTGCCCAGCCTGAGTCAGCAATCATCAGTGTTAGCGCTGGGATCTGATAGTCCCAGTAACAAACATAACATTTATGTTCATTACTTACCAAATCCATTCTTGGGGTCACGTTTTAAACTGACACATATGATTTCTCTTTCTAGACCACTTAGAAAAACTTCCTTTTGGGTGGATGGTGATCCAGGTGCTGCAGAAACAAAGCAGCTAGAATAAATGTAGATTAATGCTGGGAGACAGTATATGCATGTATTATGAAAAACTGGAGCTTCAAGAATTAATATATATTTTATCCTTGATTTCATCATTATTGTTACTTTGAATCAATATCATTCTGAAAGGAAGCTCAAACAAGTGTTTAGAAGTTTTCATTCTTTCAAAAAAACTCTGTACAGAGCTGTTCAAGCTCGCCCTACAATGTTCCTTTCTGGGAGAATATATATTTTTCTGCAACATTTTTATTAAGATTAGAATATTTAAAGAGTCAGGCAGGTAGTGCCCATTAAACCTGAGGCTGATTTGGGCACAAAATCTCCTGTGGGCTCTACCCTTAGGTCCTGTGGGTCCTTTTGGCTCTGAAGGTGCAATCCAATCAACACTGGTTACAATGGTGACTAATTAACATTGAGCAGTTGCTACAGTGTGTTTATAGCACTGTTCTAATTTTTAAATAAATAACCAAATAAACATAGCTTCATATGCCATAGATTGGCTCCCCATGTGCATGCAGTCTGGCTTCTGATAGAAAATTAGACATCCAGTCCTTATTCCAGGAAGTGTCATGCAAATGCAAGAGCAAAGACCTGCAGCCTATGCTGTCTCGTGCATTATTTATTGAGTTGTAGATCTCAGTTTTGAACCAAACAATGACCTCTAAGCACAGAGATATTGCCCCATGCAAGGGTCTCTGGGTGTACTTAACTACATCTCTGTAGAGCATTGGGCACTTGATTATAAAATAATTTTATCACCAAGTCCCTTACCACTGAACCTGATGCAAAGCAGGAGTTAAGGGGGAGAAAACAGCTTGTTTTGCTAAATTCTGGATTAATTTCCAGGATTAGAAGTAAAAAATGATAGTCTTTAATCCATAAGTAAAATATATGTTGGTCTCCTTCTATTGAAACAATAAACATGGAAGGGTACTGTATCTATGATTATTATACTCACCACTGATTGTGTTCTGAGTAGAATGGATAGAGAGGAAGTCATAACTCCTTTGTTTTCCATTCAAATTGATGTGCATTTCTGACTGGGATAGCCCTGATACAGATCTGCATGGCAGGGAAGGAAGAATGTGTTACAATAAAAAATCAGCAGCAGTATTTAGCACTCTTCATTGTCATTAGTCTGTCAGAGCCAAGTCAAAAATGCACAGGCATATAGCCTTTCAATGAGTATTCTGATTTCTGGGATATATTTCATTTTAGGGGAGAGATGGTTTATCTTTGCCAGCATTTGCTTCCAAATAACAGCTGCCATTAGAACACTCATCATGACTGATTCCTTCTATGCTTTGCTCTGAGCTGACTGCAGGTATCAGGAAAACACAGCATAACTTCACCATGATTCATTTAGCCCTGCTGTCCATTTAAACAAAACAATGTCTGAAAGTTTTTCTGGTAGTTCATGTTCTCCTTGCCTCTATTTTAGCTCTTGGTATTCTAAAAGGCACTAGAATTCATCAAAGGCCTGGAGACTGTGCAGCTACACAGGTGAATGCACCAAAACAAAGAGGGGGAAATTCTTGCACTCTTCCCTATGAATTGCACACTTGGACATGGAGGAATCAACTAAGTAAGATCTTCATTCCTGATCAAAACCAGTAAAGATACACAGACATTAAAGAATTTACATTTATTCACCCTCATTTTTATAATTCCTTGTAACCCAATTAGTGGTTTCTTCTTGAGTCTGGTACAAATTTATATGTCACTCTTTTTCAAGTCCTTCTCAGTCTATTAAACTTCCTGCCGCCATTTGCACTACTGCTGGCACCATGGAGCCCCAGATCTTCTGGTGTGATCACAATAAGAACTTTAGAAAAAAAAAGAAATTATGTATGAGTCTTCTTACACAGGTTCAGAGAGAAAAGGCAAACCTACCTGCCAAGATTGCTTTTGTCTCTAGTCCTGTTGTTGGTTTCCACACTGAGGTTATCACAAGATCTGCTCATCATCCCAGCAGAAAGGTTTTCCAGGTTTGCTCCATAGAGCACATTCTCTGAGCGAGACAGTCTCTGAATAAGAGCAAGGTGTTCATGCTGAGCTGCACATGCAGGATTTGATTTGTCTATTTCCACAAATTTACTATCCTCTGAATGAGAAGCAAGAGAGTGAAAGAAGCAAAAAAAATTGACTTATATTATTGCATCTTTTCAAGCTCAAAGGAACTTCAAATAAAATATTTTTAGTGCCAGAAAAAAAATACATTACAGATATATTTGTTCTTTTATCCTTGGTGATATGTAGGCCTTAGGGTGAGTAGAAGGAGTTTTCTGTCATAAAAAGTATATGCTGCATTTAGGTTTAGTTTCTGTGAATTATACTACATATGCACTTTCCACAAAGACAGGTGAAATATACAACCCTATGTAATTTAAACCTAAATATTTCTGTAAAGTGTATTTTGTAAATGCTTGGTGTATGAGAAACATTTGTTTTAGAATATGAATTATCCGGGTTGGAAGTTTCTCATCCTTCACAGACCTTCCACTCCAGTATATTTATATCTGAGAAGACTGGAACTCTAGGAACACATGCTCTCCAAAGTTCAGAGAGACACCAAGGAACTGAGTCGTTTGCACAAGTGAAGTTAAACGGGGACCATCTTGGTGGCAACACTTGCTATCCAGTTTTCTACCTTTCTGTGAAATCTGCTACTTGCTTAATGATGCCTGGGCTCTGCTATATAGAAATCTGTCCAAAGATTTAATTTTTTTGAAACAAGGTGGTGCTGAAGGGGACATTTATTTATTTAGGTTCTCAATGGGTGGGCTTGAGAAGGGATTTGGAGGATGCAGAGACATCAGGCATTTGGAGACACATTGGAAAGTAAAACAAAAACTCAGCTTGATAGAGGCTATCATAAACATGAGCTTAAATTCTGCTTGTATGTGACAGCTGTGTGTTTTCCTAACAAATGGTAGCCTGAATACAACTCTCTAGAACACCACTTTGTGGCATTAAATCTGGGTTTCCTCTTTCCTCAGTGACTTTGATCAGAGGCATTTCTTAAGGTGTCAGAAAGTTTAATTCTCCAGAGTATTAGTGCAGCCTGGGAGTTGCCACGGTGATTCTGATGTAGAGGGTTGCTTCAGGTTTTGAAGTGATGGTGACTTATACATCTGAACAGTGCATCAGAAGCAGAAGCATGCAGAAAGACCCTCATAATCACTCACAGCCTCACTGTGGTGGCAAAGGCTGAATTTTGAACTACTATCTGTCACTGCCTTAGTAAGACTTTCTTCTGGGACAGCAAGCACATACTCAACCCCAGAACCTGTGGTCATGTGGCTCCTGTAAGTCTGGCTTGTTTCAGTAATTTGGTGTACTTGTAATCAGCATTTGGCTTATAACTTTCTTATTTCTCAATATATTTTTTCTGTTATATATGGAATACAATAATTTTAAGATAAATTACCACAAGCAAATGTAACACAGGAAACTGTAAGATGCACTATTAGCACTCATTTGAATGAAATAAAGCACAGTCCCACTAAAATATGTTAGAAGTTGGAGATGTCAACAGCAAACATTTAGGTTCAAGATTCCTTGAACCTAAATGCCACCCTAGGGCCTTTTTCCATGGTAACAATTTTCTGCAAAAATTTCACCTTTTATAAAATAACTTTAGTGGTGAGGAGGCAATATATCAATCATCCTGTTACATGCCACAGTAGTATTTGTTGCCAACAGTTTTATGGTTTTACTACAGAAAGGAGCATTCCAGCAGATAAGGCAGGACACTTGATTCTCCTGCAGTGACTCACCAGGTCAAACACTCAGAGCTTGTAAATGATCATGGTTCTGCTCAAGGCAGAGGATGAGCTACTGAAAACTTATGTTGCTCCACTGAAGTCAAGAATGATGACAGTTGTCAGCTTAGGCTCTTATTTCTTATGTGCCTCAGTTTCCCCATAATAATACCCACTCATCTTTTCAGGACATGCTGAAAAGTGTGGGTGAGATGTGCTATGTGTCTACCCTGGATGAAGAAGAATCATGTTAACAACTATGGAAAACCTGAAGCCTGAGAAGGTACTGTTCATATATTCCATAGACATGGCAAAATCTAAGATTAGAGCTGCTAGCAGCTGTATGATTGAGTATGACTCAGTTGCCTTTAGTGGTTTAGTGGTTCTGTCCTGGGACTGAACCATTGAGTTGTATCCCTGTCTTATCCAAAATAACTGAGTGCAGCTCAAGCGTGTCTGGGCACTATTACAGTTTTAATTTGTGTAGAACATTTTTCAGATTACATTTACAGTAGGTTGGATATATTTCTGCAGAATTCTCAGCAGCAAAATTCTCCTGATGGGAAGTGAAATCATGCTTATTTCTTTTTTAAATCTGAGTTTAGCTACATAGCTGTTGTCATGAGAGAATCCCTTCTCACCTCCTGCACATGCTTATTCACATGCACATGCCAAATTAGACTTAGTCAGACAAATTAGACTCTTCAAACTTTCAGTGTAGTAGGTGGCATTATTTTCTAACTGAAACAGAGTGAAACTGAGGTGGCAGGTTCTAATTCCCAGAATCGGTGAATGTACTTTACCTAAAACATAACCTTGTCCTATGGGCCCAGTAACAAAAGTGCATTTAGAGCTCACCTGATGAAGTTTGACGAAGTTGCCTAGAATTCATCTGTGCATTGAATTTGTGCTGGGCAGAGCAGAGGTCCAGTAGGTATTTACATGTCTTTGCTGTATCAGTAATGAAGGTGTGTTTCTTGCCACTGAAGCTGCTTTCGATCATGAATTTTTTTCTCTGAAGGGGAAAAAAAGCACAGGTTGCTTCATATATCAGTCATTACACTGAGGCACTGACAGTTCATTTATAGAATCTTGTTGGTTTGTTCAGTTGTATTTATGCCTGACTCCATCCCTTTTGTGTGCAGTAAATGCCTGTTGTAAATTCAACACTTGTAAGCCAGGTGTCTGTCATTGGGATCATAACTCTTCTATGTTAAAAGTCAAGAACCTTAGGACATTGAATGCAGTGATAGCAGGTGCTAAAACCGCAAAATTTGGCCCTACAGATGTTAAAATTATGAAACAAATTTAATATGAAAGGGAACATATCTCCAACGGGGAGAAGGAACATTTTTGGAGAGCAAACAAGCTGGGAAATGTGTAATCCAATTTGACACCTGAACTGTACATTGATATACCTCTAATGTCAAAATCCCATTTAGAAATGGGTCACAATCTTGTCACCAATATTAGTTTGTTAGCAAACATCAATATACTAAAAGATGAGGTTGGGAATAATGAGATCTGGAAAGTGGAAGACATCCCATGACCTGATGTAGTCAGAAAAACAGAAGAAAAGAGCAGTAAAGACAAGAGATGAATTAATATGGAATATACTGTGGAGAGATTTGGCATAGTCTCTGTAATAGTCAGCACCAGATTATTTGGTTTTATGGCAACTTGTCTTTGGCCTCAGCATAAATACTATGGAACTATACCTCAAAAAGAATGAATTCTTTGTATGTTCATATCCACATTCAGATCCAGCTTTGATTTGAAGCTCTTTTCAGAAAGGACTTGCCCATATAGAGTGAATCTAATTCTCACTCTGAATGCAATAAATTTATCAAAGCGACAGGAAGAAAGGCAGTTAAGCAGTAGAGTAGAGAAGAGATTCAGTTAGTTCCAACTCACGTGAGCTGAAATTCTCTCTGTTTCTCGCCACTGGAATCTTAAACTGGCAATTCTTGTGTGATTTTTATTCTCATAGACGATGATGCCTTTGGCACAGATTCCCAGGATGATGTCCCCTTCTGTCCCTTTCTTCTCTTGGGACACACGATAGAATAACACTCCATATTCAGGAAGTTGCTGAGTCACCTTGTAGGGAAAAAGTATTTTAACCATGCCCTTACTCAAAAAGATTCATGGGAAGAAAGGTAGATGGAAGAGAAAATGTTTTTGAGTGTCTTAGGAGTGTCTGCCCCTGCCATCTAACCATGCAGGGGATATTCTGAGAAACTCACCCAGAGGTTCTGGGTGTTGATGCTTGTCTTTCTACCTACTGTACTTGGCCATGAAAGTGTTAAAATGTGGCTCAGACACTTTACAGAACTATGGAATAGGACTAGGATTTTCTGTCTAATCTACAGACCAATATGAGTTTATCCTAAAACCTTATATTTTCTTTCTGGGAAGCTACTGTAGAATCCTCAAATGACTTTTCAATTGTGAACAGAGGTTTTCAGTGACCAAAATAAAACACTTTAAGAAGATCTGTTTTTTCAGAAAGTAACCATAGTATAAACGTTCAGGTCCTGAAAACTGGGGCATCTATAATCACTAGCTGAATCTGGGTTTTAATTTTTAATCCCTTTCATATTTGGAATTTACATTTTCTTGCCATGGGGTCTGTCTTTCTCACTTTGTATGATGAGTTGGCTCCTTCTACAGACTTATTCATTGAAACAGATACTAAAAAAGCTTCTTTTTCTTCATTGGATTTGCCATGCATCATGGGACTGTCATTAAGGCTAAGCTTCAATCTATTTCTTTAATTGCACTGACAGTGTTAGATTAAGAACTAATATAACTAAATAGCAACTGAACTAAAATGATGCTATAAATAACAGCATGTGGCACTGCAGCAAAATGACTACTGGTATTTATCCATTATCTAATCCTTTATATTTTTCGTTTGATGGAAAGCAGAGAGGTTTGGAGAGAAAGAAATTAGCAGGAAAAAAGTTAAATCCCACGTCATTGTGACACTTTAGAGCTCTAGAGAAATAGTCAAGTGCAAAAATATTTCAGATAACTCCTTCCTCACTTCCAGAGTTCACAGATACTTTTAAACAAACAATCACTACATATTTAGAAAGTAGCTGAAAAGCTGCTTTAATTTCAGAAGTCAAAAAAGTGCTTAGTCTCATGTTTTATAATCTTCTGGATACCAGACATATTGGTAACATGCCAAAAATTTACATCAAACCTTAGAATGCTGCAAATACACCAAAACTTGTTATGAAAACCCTCAGTGATAAGTGACAGTATCTACAACAGAATAAAATTTTGAGATTTTTGTTGACTATTCAAATTTTTTCACCATATCTACCATTGTATCAGACAAGAAGAAAATAAACAACGGTAAATAGAGAGGGGCTCTCTACCTCAAAATTAATAAATAGTGTTTGGGGTATGGCAAGTTACCTTTAAAAATTCTAGTTCAGCTTCATCCTCAAATAGGGAGCGATTCATACGATGTAGTTTAGCAAGCTCTCGCTGTACATATGCCAGGGTCATTTTCTCTATTCGACTTGCTGGAACGTAGTCTTCAACACGAAAATAGCTCTTTCCATGCATCTGTGGGGGAAAAACAAAGAGACAGGAGCCTTTTGTTCTTTCTTGACTTTTCTTATTCATCGCATTCCATTTTCAGGGTGACCCATATGCAGAAGTCACCCTGCTGCCATTTCCCAAAGGAAACTGGGAACAGCACGCAGTGTCCTGACAGCCAAATTGCCTCTTGCCCCTGTGCTCAGGCAGCTGCTCAAAGCACACATCACTTCTTTGGGCAGAGGAGAGGAAGGATCTGGGCCTACAGGCGTGTCCTGACCTTAGAGCTGACAGCTACAGCTGCATCAGTACAACCTACAGTGGGGGACCCATTGCCATGATTGATCTGACCACATGGATCAGACCACTCCGAGTTCAATTAACAGAGCTACCCTGATTTACATAGCTGAAGTTATGGAAGCAACATAAATGGATGTTTTATATGCACTTGAAAACTAGGACAGCCAGTTCAGATATACAATCAGAGACCTCCCTGTCTTTGCAGCTTGTGGATCTGAGCCTACACATAAGACAGCTGTGAATTCTGAAGCGTTCATTTGCTTTTCTCTTCCCTCTTTACTAATCTCTTTAAGCCCCTCCACACACCCAAGCTGGGCCTGTGTTGGAAACTTTCTACAGATTTTCTAGAGTTTCTAGGCTATATTATCAATGAAGGATCTAGACTCTCTCATCATTCTGCCATATTTCCTGGCAAATTCACCTGGCTCATTACTACTCCATAATCAGGAATATTTTGTAATTTTTAAAATTAAGTCTGAAGGACTTATCTGGAGGACTTAACTGAAGTTCTTTGCTATTCACATTTCTTCTTTAAACTCTATGTGACAAAAGCTGCAAAAGTTGTAGAGAGAGACCTCTGAGAAATACTGTATGATTTCTCCACACCTCAGAAGCATAATTGCCAAGCTCTGCCTGTAAAGCCAAAGCGCCGAGTTTCAGGGCAGTCTCATCACTGCAATATAATCGCTCCTCCAAAATATCTTTACGAAGCTGCAGGTAAAACTGGTGCCTTGTCAAGCCATGCCTGGAATAGAAAAGGGTTTAGGAATTCAGGAGGAGCTTTGAATGGTATCCCTAAATGCTACCAGTTTTCCTTCAGTCAGCAGAATTTTGCACTTACTGAATAACATTAAAGTGGTTGACAAAAAATTTTATCCTTAGAAAGAGTGTGAAATTTATGATGGACATTTTCTTCTTGGGTTGGTCATTCCAGCCATCTGGAGCCACTTTGTAGAGTTTGGTCTCCTCATCCAAAAAGAAGAATTCTTTACCTGAAATGAGAATTTTGGGTTCTGTGATAAACCTGGATATACTTCAGCAGCATAGTTCTGCTGTCTTCATAGAGTGCATCACTAGCAATAAAAAATAAATTGGATTGGGGATGTCAGCTGAGATTTACTTCTCAGCTTTAACTTCTCAAATTTAACTTATTGCTCCTTTGATGTAGAACTTAGGACAATATGTAATTTTGGATTACAAATGTTAGATGCTGGACTGGTATGGTATCTCAGAAATCACTCAAGGACTCATGGAGCTTGCATTCTTCTCACCACTCAGGTTCTGCACCCCTTTGTTTGTAATCCTCATGCCCACACACAAGGTGTGCTCTTTCCCAGTGCCTCAGCTGTGCCTGCCATCAGAAGGGGACCAGGGAGATGTGGGTCTGGTAGATGACACAGCTGAACCTGTACTCCCACTTATATCTAGGAATAAACACAGGCAGCCTTTCCCAGTGCAATGCTTCCTGGAATTTCTGCTGGAGCTGCATGGCTCAGTATTATTTGAGTGCAAGGCTGGGATACAGCCTTTTCTGCCTGGGAATATCAGTGAGTAAATGTTGTATGGCTGTGCTGTGCACAGTCCTAGGGCAGACATGCTTTACACCAGTGCAATGCAGTTTAAACCAACATACCTTACTTTTGCACAAGCTTTGTGTCTGCTTCTACCCAAGGATCTTAAAGGATCTTTGAATTAATTCTTGATGAATGATTATTTGATGCATTCTTGAATGATTCCTTGATTAATTCTTACTGGAATTCATTGATAAAGTGACTAAAGAGGCATTGTCTCATATATAAATAACTGTCTCGTTACCTTTCAGGTAAGCCAAGCCAAAGTAGAAATGCTCCACCAAGTTTGCATATGCCACCACAGTGTTGAAAACATCTCTTGCCTTGGTCTTGATATCACATTGCACCTCAAGGCACTGGCCATTGAGTAGAATCACATTGAGATCCCTTTGGGACAAATAGGATTTCCCTTTTTTAGTCTAAGAACATGCAAGAAAGAATGAAGAATGAGTGCCAAGTACAAGCAATGCAAGTTCCACAGCATTTTATATTGAGGCCCACTAGTAGCCTGTCTCTATGCAACTGATGGAATTGGTCACAACACCATGCTAATCTCTGCCTCCCTTCTCATAAATTAATATCACAAACTTTTCTTATTTCCTTAAAACCAAAAGAATCACAACAAAACAGATGAGCATACTCAAATTCTCCAGGTGCCAGAGTTATTCTAGATTTGGTGCTACTTCCAAATTTGTTTTGCTCTCATTTTTACAGCTATCTGCTGTCATCTTTCTACCTTACCTTGATGAAAGGTAAAGTATCTGCTTGCAAGCTGGAGAAGTCCCATGCATTGGAACTAGATGTCATATTGCAGATTTACTACACAGTCTTTGTCTCAAAGGTCTAGGGCTAAAGTGAACATTCTTAGCTGAGAAGGATAAATCAAGCTTTTTTTTACACCAACAGAAATAACTAAATAGCACTAAGAATTAACGGACACCCTTTCAAGTCTCAATATCTCTGCAAGGAACCCTAACTTGTTTTGAGAGGAGGACATGGAGAGAATACTGGCTTGAGACTCAGGTGCTATTTACAAAGAGCCCTGACTGAAATGTCACTGGATTTGTTCAAAATCCTTAATGTTCATTCTTACCACAATTGATCCAGGCAGCTGTAAGGTCACTGGTGGTTCACTTGACAAAATAATAAATTCTGGACCTGAAAACTGCAAGGAGGCAATTTAGAAATTTTGTAAGTCTTCTTAATGGAATGAAGATCCCAAACACAAGTATCAATGAAACCCATTTCTATTGATCTGTATGCTGGACCTAATTGACTTCAGTGTTGAATAAGGTGCAAATGCTGACTGGTGACTTCTCTCTCTTTGGTGTCTCTCCTTTGTAGACTCTCCAGGGTCTAAGTAGGGCTAAGCTCATGTGGAAGCCTTTTCTTCTGTAAAGGTACTTAATCAAAATCCATTTCCTTTGCAAGGTATCTATTTTCATGACACTTATAGAAACTTAATTTATTCTGAGACCTTTTCTCATTTGATTCCCAAATTACTTTGAGGACAGTCACAGACACAGAAACATACAAACACACCACTGTGATTGCTTAAGCCCAACTTCCCTAAGAACTAGACTGAAATGCAGAGCTGCTTTCTTCCCCATAATAAAGGCTGACTGATGGTTCTTATTATTAGACATTGTATTCTTTTGTTTTAATTGCAAATAACTTCAACAGTTTTAAGCTCTTTTTTCCTTGCTGAGTATCCATCTCAACTAGTTGTATATATTGGGTTTTTATCAGATACATCTATGCTTTTAGATCCCTTAAGCAGACAGAAATAATTAAATGTCTTCAAATAATAAGATGTGAATCCTTCCAGCCATTCACCGTGACTTAGTAACTTGATCCATTTAGATACTTAAAAAAAAAAAAGAAAGAAATTTCATAGCAGTATGGTCTTACCAACAGAAAATGCAGTTTTGCATCACATTAAAGAGGGAGTAGCACTGTGTTGTAACAGTTGCTGAACTCCTGTGAAAGGCTGTTATTATCCCCACAAAAACCATAATCACAACATTTAAATAATATAAATATAATGTATAAAATAAATATAATATAAAATTCATATGAGAAAATATAAATTTCCAAAGTATCTTGACCAAATATTTGTCACTGGTCACTGCTGAGCTTCTGAACTGGGAAGAGGTGAAAGGGTTCATCAGCCTGAAACCTGTCCCTTCTTGTTCCACAACAGAAAACTCCATATGAAGGATCATGGTAGAGTTTTCTGTGAATCAGTTATTTCTGAATTTTTGCAAACCGGAAAAGACTGCAAAACAGCATACCTTTGAAAGAAACTTTGTCCTTTCCATTTAACAGAGTCCTACTACAACTTAGAAAGTAGAAAAAGTCAGTTAGGAGAACTACTGTCTGGGCACATTCACTGTCAGCCTATGCTTTCTGTCCAGACATGCACTGTAAAAAGAAATTTAAGTCCTTTGAGCATCACTGGCTGTCAGGCATTTGGGTACACTGTCTCTGTAAATTTTTTGCTGTTCTGAAACTGCTGTTGAAGTGGTTGGGGAAAACAGTCCATATGGTGCTTGATGCTGGCAGAAATCACATATGTAGGTCAGAGAGGGTTCAATTATGAGCTTTTGCTTAGTCCTTACAGACAATTGCTTTCACTGCCTTCGGTTCTGACAGCATAACTGGATCATGCCTAATTTGGAGTCTGTCAATTTAGAATACTCATCTAATAAGATGACTCAGTAGCTAATATGCACATCATTGTCAAACAAAAATTAGATGAGAGGCTTCTCTTTAGTGATATTTACATTTTGAAATCAGCTTATATGTTTTTCGTCATTCACCTTTTCCTTCCTGTGGAACAAACATTTCTGTGATGCGGCAGCTGCTGAGGAGTCCTTTGTGGACACAGAGAAGGTGGATCCCAAGCTTATCAGGTTCTGTCGGCTGTTCTTCGCAGTTCCACCCGGGATTTCTTCTACAGCACTCACCGACCTTCAAAGGAAATGTGAGAAAAAGATCTAACATGCAGTCAACACAACAGTGACCTGGGGGCAGAGATCTTAAGGTACAGTAACTACTGAATATGATGAAGTCCAGGACAATGTCTGTTATAAGCTCCTTAATGTCTCTTTACAAAAAAAGAAAAATTTAACAGGAGTATAACTCTAGATTTATTTATAACTCTCCATTATAAATAAATCTAAACTCTGCTTTGATTCAATAGAGTCAGGTTTGTTTCTTTCCTTCATTTGGTGAGCCAAACGCAGCTGGTTTAAGTCTGGTGAAGCCGACAGGCAAAAAGTGCAGCCCCATTCCCTTCTGGGAATTCTACAGGATGAAGAAAGTTCCTCATTTATTATTTTCTCAAGAAAAAAGCTTCAGAAAGCCTTAACGTTTGTTGTTACATTATTCAGAATTTTCCAGAAATGGGAATTAAATTATTTGAATACTAATTCATTAGGATAAATTAATGTCCTAGGGAACTGAGGGATTTTTTAATTTAATTAAGAAAAAGGTGTGTGAAACCTCAGATCAGAAAGCTGTCTCTGTACTGTAGCTTTGAACAAGAAATGATTATGTTGTTCGGGAGGGGTTTTATTGAGGTGGATTTTTGTTAATTACATTTTTTCAGCAAATGCTAAAGACACATAGAAGCTTTTCCATTATCCTAAAGTTTTATCATTTTCTTTTGCACATTGAAGATTTACATCAGGCAACTATTCAAGGAATTTCTAAAAATTTTTCAAAAATTAACTAGAGTAGTTTCTCATCTCTTCTGCCTAGTATCCAATAACAGGGAACATGGGAGCAGTTCAAAACTACAGTACGTGGAGTTCAGAGATGTTAGGAACCATTTTTTCCCTTAGGAGGGGCCAAACACTGGAACAGGCCACCTAAGAGATGGTCACTGGTCCAAGCCTGTCAGTTATTAAGAGTCATTTGGAGATGACCTTAATAACATTCTTTAACTTTTGGTCAACTCTGAAATGCTCAGGCAGTTGGACTAGATGATTATTGAGTCTCCTCTCCTCTCCTCTCCTCTCCTCTCCTCTCCTCTCCTCTCCTCTCCTCAAAATCCAAAATTCATTATTAAGAAGGCCTTCTTTTACTGTGGAAAACACTTCCTGTTATTACTCCTGTTAGGTGAGATGTGCCAGATTTTACAGTTGTGTCTTCTTTAGATATAGACCAGAGCCTTGTTTACAAGCTTCACTTTGTGAGATGTAAGTTATGTTAATTTGTCTTCCTACAGAATGAGCATGATGATAAAAGTAAGCTTTATAGATAGTAAACCCATCACTAATTTTTGTGTTGGTTGTACATGGGAAACGTGATTTCCAAAGTAATTTCAACTCCACTGCTGTAATGGTACTTGTAATAGAATGGTGACTGTGGTAGACATTCAGTTGCAGATGCTTACAGCCAGGAGTGGGGTTTAAAGTTCTTGAAGTTCTATGGGAAGCAGCTTGCTGGAAATTTGGAGAACAGAGTTCGTCCTTCAGCAGAGGAGGTGAACTTATTCTTGGCAGCATGATTTTAAATCAAGTACATTAAGATCATATCTAGAGTTTTAGTCAGAGGCATGGAAATTACTGTGAAGTACTCAGTAAATAAATCCTCTGTTACTCATATAACTGTTAGATATATGATGCATATATAGATGTTGGTGAACACATACAAAAATATGTGTGTGTGTAGTTAGACAAGTAGACAGAGACTTCTTTCTTGACAAAAGCAGCCACTATCCCGCAATCTGCTTGTAGATCTCTCTTGTTGCAGTTTTACAGGTGTACTGGGGTATCTCATATTGCCCAGATTATCATGGCTGATTTATCAGGAAGTTCAAACTGTTTACTTAGGACACATTTAATTGGGAGTTGATCTAAATTGAGCATTTCCTGTGGGCCTGAATTACTCGTGTCATGGTTAAAAGAAGAAACTCCTGTTTAACTGGGTCAAGAACCCAATTTAAATGGGATGTCTGTAGGGATTACATGGTGCTTAACTATGGGATTCTGGGCTTTGTGATGCCTAGAGACTGACAGTACTTGCATCTCTTTGTTTGGAAGCTGCACTGTGCTAACACCCAGTCTAGAAAATTCTTGTTTGGCAGCAGGGGTGTTTCCCTGGCTATTGAAAAGGACTTAGTATCAGTTGTACAATCCTCACTTTTCTTTGCCAATGTCTACAGGGCTGCTGTCCATTCCATGGCTGAAATGAGGCTAATCCTCATGACAGAGCAGAGGTCTTTACTGCTCATGACCCTGGGTTTCCTGTAACTCTCCAGTACAGTGGCAGTGCAGGGCTGGATATGACTGACACAAGTGAGAAAAATCAGTATAAGGACTGAGATGGAAATGCAAATGAAAATTATACATTATATACATGGTTTCACATAACCACTACAGAACACATAAGGTGTGACAACACTTTAATGTGACAGCAAGGCTAGACCACATCCAAAATCTGAATGTGGACAAATAAGGACTCTGGCAGAATGCCTTGACAGGGAAAGTGATGACTATTAATACCTTTTCAATAGATTTTTCCCTTCATAAATTATATCATTAGTAAGGTTAAAAAAGACCTCTAAGATCATAAAATCCATCCTTCCACAGTGTCTGTGCAGCAGTTTCCCAGCTGTTTCAGTCACAGGGGACTAATGCTGATTCCCTGCCTGGGGGAGACACAGCTGGGGGCAGCTATTCTGGGAGGCCTGTGTCTGGCAGGACACAGTGGTACAGAGTAAATGTGGAATTCCTGAATCTGCTTTGTATGGATTGTTCAGGGCCCAGGTTTCATTTCACTAGAGCTTTTGGACTTGGAGCCAAACCAAGAGTAGGTGAACATTATTTATTTATTCTACATAGTAGAATATTATGTATTTATTACATTATTTATTCTATATAAATATAATAATATAGAGATATATATAGATATAGATATAGATATAGATATAGATATCTATTATCAAAGCAGGCTCAGATGTCAATTCAGGCATTTCTGATACTGGCATTGCCACACTAACTGCTGGATTCACTTGCTTATAAAACAGCTTTCATCTTGTAGAATATGAATTGAGCTTACCTGTTTATGAAGAGCTTGTAGCTACTTTGTGTCCTTGACCCACTAAGTGTGGTGTCACATGATCTGTGTGTCTCTGGAATTCTTCCTGCAATGAATATAGGAAATTTCAAAATTCAAGTGATAGTAGCGGCACTCAGCATCAGATATTGGGACAATTATAACAGGGAAGAAATTTAAACTGGCAATCTCCTCTCTTGTATCCTCACTTGGACATGATAAATGGCTATTTAATAAGGTTAATGAATACTACACCAGCAGTATTCCCAGTTCCCTAGTTATTGTTACTTCCTCTTCATAACCCCTTATGTGAATGTAATTTGGAAAACAGCTGTGTAGGTACAATGGCTGTCATTTCCATCTGTATGGGGGTAATTTGTGGAACAGCTTTTTCTCTTCAGAAATTATGTCCAATTTTTGTTCTTCAATTTGCAGGCATAAAATGGGCAGAAAAAGGCATGAAACTTCTCTGGCTTAATCAGAGTAGAATATAAAATCAATTAAATGAAAAGGATTGTATCTATTCCACTGGTTACTTTCTATGTTATATATATTGTGAATGTTTTTACGACATACAAACATGGTAGGAATAGTGGATGGCTTGTGGTTCCTTAGCAAATAAGGATTGCATTGTTTTTCACCTTCAATCATCTCTGTTGCTACACTATGGACAAGTGTTGCTTTGTCATGAAGGCTGAAATTTAGAGGCAGAACCAGAAAGGGTTATACAAGTTGTAGTTCTATGAATGTTTCTTGTATCAGCAGAGATATTTGAAATCTTTAGGGAATGGTGAGAAGGTTAAATTCTTATTCACTTTGATCATTTCATTGATCTTATTTGAAGACTTGCATATCAAACTATTACATAAGTAGGATGATAGAGGTTGTAAACAAGCTGTGTGGAAGGAATCATTTTGATAAAACATTCATGCACTACACCCTGAGACTTCACTCTGTATTCCAACATGAAAACGTGACACTGAATTCTAGTGTACCAACCAACCAACTGCAATTTTGAAACCTAGAAAATCTACAGTCCCATTGCTAAAATAAGAATAAACATGTGGGGTTTTTTCAAGCTGCAGATGGTAGTGACAAAATGTGAGATTTGAGATAAGCTAGTTACCAAAGTTAAGATTCAATCCTGTGTTCTGAAACAACATGCTTTTTAATGAGAAAACCTCACAAAATTCTCTGCTTGCACTGTGGTTTTAATATACTTGTATAAATATATTTTGATAAGATCATAAAATTCTCCTTAGTCTTTCTATATCAGCTGCTATAGCAGTGGGACAACTTGGCTACTTTCCATGGCCAGACTGCCATGCTTTGATCACAAATCCAACACACACCTGACATTAAATTAACATGTATTCTTCAAAGAAGTTAATGCTGTAGATTTACTATATGTTAAATGAGCTCCTAATGTGCAGTCTTGATAGAGATATTTATGTCCTTTGATAATGGTGCTCTGCTAGATAGTAATATTTCTTATCATAGCAGAATGCTTTTTTTATGATGTATTATTTTGTGAAAGAATGTTTGTGACAAACAAGCTCTCACATTCTGTGTTTACTCATGTGTTTTTAGAATCCTGTATTACAAACTCCTGAGTATGCACAGCTACCTGTGCTTCATTGGAGATTGAGATATGCACAAAGGCCCTGGAATGAGCCTTTGTCAAGTTTATGACCAAAATGTCTTTTAAATTGCTTATGAAAGTGACTTCTGAATTTGTCTTCACTGTGTGTGACTGTGTATGTGACTCACACGTATGTGTCACTCATGGAGCAGCTGCAGTCTCAGGTTTTCATTGCTGCTGATATTGATTGCAATTCTGGAGCTTCAGAAAAGCACCTTGCAGGAGGAGACCATCAACAGCAGTAACCTCACTTTCTCATCCTTGGGCTGAGGGCTGAGAGGCTATGATATTATGGGTTTTTTTCCCATGATATGCCTAATTTCTCTCTGAATTATGTCCCCATAGAACATTCACTCTTAGGTGTTATTTATAGATTCAGCTGATTTCAGAGCTGATGTCTTGACATTGCCCACCATATGCATTTGTGGGGTAGCCCCACCTTTTCTGTGTCAAGATCCCATGTGCTAAAAACATAATGTCAAGCTTTGTGATCTGCTGAACAGCTTTACCTGGCAAAGGGGGCATGAAGCAAGAAAGAGGTGATGGAGCTACATGGTAGCCAGGAAATTTATAGCTGTACTGTGGGACACAAGTGAAAAATAATCAGATATAAAAATATCTTTCTTCCCTACAACTTAGCACAAATATACCTCCCAAGTCACATAACCACAAGTTGCATAGGAGTATCTGTCACCTGGTACATGGTCAATCCCACACTTTAGGGGACAAAATAGATAATAATTCACAAACATAATCTTTTTTTAAAAATCTTACCTTTCCTGTGTCCTCGGTTAGACAGTATCAAAGATGTACTTTCAGAAATACTATTAGAATCACTACAATCCACAGAGAGTTGTCTGTAATCTTCTGTTGACTGACTATAGTTCATTAATCTGGGCCCTTTGTCTGGAAACAGAAAGGAAATGTGGTGAATCATATACTTTGGTAATAAGCCATTGTATTTGCAAGTTAATGTAAATAACATTTCGATCTGCTAATTTTTATATAGACCTCATCCTTCTGTCTTCTAACCCTGACTCCAATTCCTTAAAGACTGAGGAAAGCATGGTAACATCATTCTATTACTTTCATATCCTATTCTGACCAAAATTGGTTTTCATAGTTCTCAATTATTCCATATAAAACAAATCTAATTCATTAATTCTGTTCTACATGTTTAACTGAAAGGTTGCAAAGTGCAGATAACCTGCAAAGTTCTTATTCCTTCTACTCTGAGGTCCAAAACTTTGAGCTAAAATTTCTTCTTTCTGTGTGCAGGCTGGACAATGCCCAAACAGAATCCACTACCAGAGGCAGATGCAGAAATTTCATTAATGGGACATCCTAATTCATTAGGATGTATATATTTTTCTTGCACGCTGACTTTTCTTGTTTTGCATTCTCTTGTGTCCTTTTACAGAATCTCTGAAGGATAATTTTTAATTTTAAAAAAGGAAGAAATGGAATGTTGTCTTGCAAAGTGCAGCTCACACATTTTCAATATAATTGACACCCTAATTCATTGAAGTCCTTTGGCAAGTGTAAGTCAAGTGATCTGAATCATGAGCAAACACAGAGATCACACCAGACAAATAATCCCTGCAACCAGTGTCAGGAAACTGGCAGGAATTTCTGGTTAATACAGGGTTGAAAATGGGGCCATCCTTTTTGGCAGCAGCAGAGTTTCTACCTACTTTTGCAAGTCTGAATCTACAAGCTCAGTTGAATAAGTGAACCAATATGGCTTGATGGGTAGCTTGTCTCAATGTTTCCAAAATAATCCCCTTCTCTTATAACCAATAATAGCTAATGGAAATATTGCAGATATATTTAAGTCTGTGTTTGAGTCTAGCTGATTTCATGGCACAAATGTGTGATTTACTGAATAGGAATTGTATTGCTCATATGCCTAATGCTGAGCATATCCCAAAAAATCTTGTATAGCTTGGGCCAGCTTTCTCCTTGCTCCAAAATCAGAGATCACTGTCAAAGTGAACAGCACAGTGTAGGCACTAGAAAAAAGATACAGTTATAGAATTACTCTGAGGGATAATATATCTTGATCTTAGTCAGATGAAATAAAATCTTGGTATATGCTGTTTTATTTATATTGTGAGCAGGATTTGAATTTGTCTTGAAATCACTACAGCAATTACTGTGTGAATTTATAAAACATCTTTTGAATAGAAAATTAAGCTAAAATCAAAAAAATAAACCACAAATCTTTCCTTGAATAATCAAATAGGAAAGATGACTATATATTCCTTAATGGCAGGAGAATAACCTCACAGAACTCCAGCTTGCAAAATACACTGGAGTATACAAAGTACAAAAGCAGTTTTGAAAGCTGAGGAGTTTTATATGCACAGGTTTTATGCAAAGAGCTTTAAGAGTCAAATCTGTGCAACCTGATTTGTTATCATTGCTTCACAGCCCTGAGACTATTGTCCTTTGTGGAAATAAGGAAAAGAAACCTCACTGACTTGCCTCAGAGTCTTTCCATTATGAAGTAATTTATACGTACAGCAATAACTATCTTATCCAACACTACATGTAATCACTACAGCATGAAATTAAACAATCCATCTACTTTGGGAAAGACATAGAAAAGGCTGTCTGTATCCTTATCCAACAGTTCAGGCTATAAATCTTTCTTTACCTTGGTGAAAATTCATCTGGGATGCCAGAGTTGAGGTGTCCGATATGTTTTCATGCAGCCTTTTCCTTATCACATGGCTTCTGTTCAGCTGAGAGGCTGTGCTGTCCTCAGTGGCCACCTGCTCTGTCTAGAAGGCAGTAATATTCAATGTCATATGGTATGTGAACTTCAGACTCTCATCGGGAAGTGACCCTTGCCCTCTGGCTGTCAGAGGCTGCTGATCAGCTTTGCATAAGCAACTTCATTTTCTCTGATTAACACAAAGTGGGGCTGAGTATGTTGGTTCCATGCTCTCATGCTAGCTAAGTTTAAGAGGGGACACCCTCTGTTACAGTAGCAAAGACAGTAAGAAAGAGTGCAAGGGAAAAGTTATTCTCAGAATCTTAATGAATACTGATTGAAAACAAAAAAAATCGGGTGTGTTTTCTTCCATTGTCATTCAGCTTGTCAACAAAAATAGTTTTTGCTATTTCAAATTTTGAAAAAACTTATGCGCTCATTTTTAAAGACCTCATGTGGTCAGGCTTGATTGCACATCAAATATTCAGTTCTACTCAAGGACAGTGGCCTACCTAATATGATGTAAATTAGATTTCTTTGAACTTCATGAAGAAAGTCTGAAACAAGAACGGCAATGGAGAAATTTTTACTGTTGTGCAAAGTCCTTTACCTTGGCCAATAAGAAGTCTCTGTAAAGGTTATGATTGTGTCAGTACTAACTAAAGAAATTAAGATACTGTAAATACAAAAGCTCAGTCACTTCCCAGGAGTGTAGAAGTAGTGTATGAGACAGCTTCATTGCTTTATTCGCTTGCACACGTGCCCACAGAGTTTCCTGCCTAGAAGTTTAGAATCAAATCTCACTTCCTTAATCCATACAAACATTAATTCTGGCAGTCGCTCACCTGTCTCCCGTGTTCCTGGGCACCTCTCTCACTGCAGAAAAGGAGATGATTGGAGTATGAGAGCAGTACTTACCTCGCTGACACTTCCCACTGCAAACTGAACCATTTTCTTTATGTAGAATTTTGCTGGTAAGGAAGCAGATTCCTTCTGACGTGCTTCACATGCTTCCAGAACGGATTCAGGAGAAAGTCTTCTATGTGGCAGATCTTCACACAGTGTCAGCAAGAGTGTGTGTAGTTGGTCACTCAGCTGGAGGGACTGAGTCAAAATAGAGGTACTGTTAAATGACATCTCCCAGGGGACTGAAATCCTGTGTAAACTGGGACCAGGAATTTCTGTAAGCCTTTCACTCTGAGTGAGAAACATGCTCTGAATTCCTTTAGGCTTTGGGAAAATTCCAGACAAGCAGCATAAAAGCATGGAATGAACCTTTAGTGGGATTCTGGATATCCTTGGAGGGAATTGACATCTCCAAGAATGATTGGTGGCCCAATTAGGGGCTTCTTGGTGACAGACAATTCAGTTTGCTCCAGAGCTTTGTTAATTAGACTGTGATTCAAAGATTCATGGCAGTAAGGCATGTGGTAGCATTAGCTTCAAAAAGATGAGGAGTTTTACCAGCCACAACTGTTGTCATAGAGACCAGATACTTATATTTTAAGGCCATTTAGCTTATTAAGCTTTTCCTTTTAGAATGTGAAAGGGAGGTTAAATTGACTAGAAACCTGTGCTCTCCAAATCGAGAACAAGCAACCAAAAGCATCAATATAGAAATGAAGCAAAATTTATGTTACAAGTCTTTGAAAGGATTCTGAGCAAGCAAGAAACTTATAATTTCATCTAGTAGATACTGAGGAATTTGATCAGAAATTGGGGGAGTTGTTTAGTTTTATTCTTCCATCCCAGTTTTGAAAAAGCACATAAATGTGCACATTCCACAATAATGCCAACATGATGTTTTTGTTTTAGTCCTGTCTGTCTTAGAATAAAAGAATCATAGAATAATTTCAGTTGAAAAAGACTTTTAATATCATTGAGTGCAATCATGAACCTAACACTGGCAAGTTCACCTCCAAATCATGTCCCTAAGTGCCACAAGAAAACATCTTTTAAATAGCTCCAGTAATGAGATTCAACCACTTCCCTGGGTAGATTGTTCCTAATTGTCTTGGAATAAATAAGCTTCACCCTTAAAATCAAAGTACAATTCATCTTAATAAGAAAAATTCTGGGTTTTGAAGAAATAGAGGGAGGAAAAAAAAATGGAAAGGAATGAAAAGATGAGCTCCAACTAAATTCCCTGATTTATGTGAACTGGTATTTTTGGTGAGGTTTGAACCTTGACACAAGCTCTTCAGTTCTTTCCTAGTGGTCCAAAACACAAGCCCTCTTAGTAATACTTCAGACTATGTCTTTCATTCTTTGAACCAGAATAAAAGAAAGCAAAAATGATTGTGTTACTGGCCTGGTTTGGAGGAACCTGGTAATCTGCTGACCAATAGAGGGTCATTCCTAAGGAATACACCAGCATCTGTAAAAACAGAAAAGGAAACTCTGTGTGAAACCAATACTTAGTGCAGGAAAGCCTCATACTAGAAACACCATCTTTTTGTGTCTTTGGTCACAAAATGGCAGAAGTCACACAGATGATTCTTTTAAAACTAAACTAAATATATCTAAAAATAAAACCGTGACTCTTAGCTTACAGACTATGTTGCATGCAATTAGTGATGCCTTTTCCTGGTCTTTAAAAACTGAGAGCCAGCCATGGTTAAGGGATAAGGGATTTTTACCTTGGTATTTTAATAAGGATCCTTATGGCAAACCATCTTTGCAAGGTGGGATGTGCCACCATGCACACACATGACAGATTGTGTATACAGCTTATAGACCTTACAAATTAGCTTATCTAACAAGGATGGCCCAATGGGGGGTCTGGATGAATCATGTGACATTTCCCCATTCGACAAATTCGCCCCTGGATGGGCTGAAACTCTAGTTTATAGGATATGTTCTAGAGATCACCTTGGTTTCCCAAGATAGTGTAGGGTAGTCCAACCTCCTACTATGAGGCCTTTAGAATGTTTGCTCTACTGGCTTAACAAAATACTAGGTTATCAGAATTAAGGAATTACAAGTATACATGCTAAGAATACATAAAAGTAATATAAAGGTATATAAAAGAAAAGGGAAAAAATCATCTTGGCATCATTAGTACTATTCAGCTTGAGGGACTGAGGCAGGATGCCCTCTGTTCAAAGATGCTAGGAGTAGGAGAAAAAATTTGAACTCCTTTCTTAATTTTGAAGCTCTCCCATTACTGGTTAAAATTCCCTCCTACCTGTAGAACTGACTAGCTGTTATATGAAGGAAAATAATTACTGGAATAAGGCTGCCTTTTCCACAGCTTCATTTTTCTGCCTAGTGTTTAAGTCCTCAGTTATATGGGAATCTGAAAATACTGTGTTCTGCCTGAGGGAAGTATGTTGTCTGAGTGGTATTTAAAACTTTAAGGTGCCTGAATGCTATATCTTACTGTCTTTCCAGAGAGATGCATTTGTCAGAGAGAATAAAAATAACTTGTTAACAAAGCTGAATATATTTCTGACTTCCTGGGACTGCTTCCACCCTCTGATTGTACAGATACTGCAGCCCTGCTGCTTCTGAGATTACAATTACCATATCTACTTGAATATCATTTCATAGAAATATTCTTCCTTTCTGTGGGCCTTTACAAATAATAAATTTCTGCAAGACTGTAGGACTGATGTTCAAAATTTATTTTGATGTTGACATACATCCTAATCCAATGGCAAGCTCCAAGATACATGTAACAACTTTCTAAATATAGCCTAATTTGATTCATTTTATTAGAAATGGGGTGCCACAGTAGGTGCCTGGCAAGTTGCATTAAAACCCACAAGCTTTTCTTCATGAGGTGCTGTCAAGATGCACCTTGCAATATACCTCACCTTTGTTAGTCCAAAGTGTTGGTTTTTACTTGGGCGGTGGAGCAATTCTGGTGGACTGAAAGGGGCAGCTTCTGTCTGAGATGCATTGTTTTGGAAAAACAAATTTCCTTCAGCAGACAATAGTAGTGACCACGGGCAAATCACACAGATGGCAGGGTCTGAAAAATGTTGAAGTCGATAAAATGGAGATCTTAGTGCTGAATTCACTGCACTCAGAAAATCATATTTCTGTCATCTCACCTGTATAACCAATCTCATCACAGGAGATGTACCCAGAATCTCCTGCCTGACTGGGGACCTTACTGGTCCTGACCCACAGACTGATTTCCCAGCCCGACCTCAGACTTGCTTTGTCACTGTGGCCTTGCCTGGTGATCGCTGGGCTCTCTGACCATGATCACCTTCAGCTAGAGTTCTCTTTTGCTCCTTCCATGCTTTCTGTAGTGTTGTGTGCAAACACAAGTCACACATGCTGGGAAGCTTGTCTTGTTTTAGGAACAGCCAGCCAGCTTATACTTCATCCTAGTGGAGAATACCTGGCCTTCTGTAGTGCTGGCTAGCACTGGCATTCCTGCCTAACCTGGCAGTGCCCCAGCACCAGGAATATTCTGTACCAAGTTGTGCTGATCATCATGAGATCTGGCATGATTTATTGCATCACACACAGTGCAGCAAATGTGGCAGTATTAGCCTTGAAAAAAGGGTGATTACAGAAACAATATAGCTGCAATTGAGAGATGTGGAGTCAGATATGCCTTTCTCAGCTGGGATGATGCAGGTAACCTTCCCTGTGCTCAAAGTAGCTGGAGCACTGTGGATTCAGCTTCAGAATGACTCCAGTTTGGCATCACTTCTGGACCTGAGCTCTATAGAGACAAGTTTAGCAGCCTTACATTTGGCCTGCAGCTGATCTTGATGGTACATCCATACTTCTTCTTGGTTTAGTTTTCATGTTCTGATTACCCTAAATTTATCTGGTGTAGCATAGGGAACATAGGCTGGTTATCTTTTTTTGTTTTAAATTTCATTTTCTTAAGTCAGCAGTCAGAAGAGTATAGTGTCTGCTTAGTGTCTGGCACAGAGTCAATAGATGGACCTATGCTGAACCTATCTAGGTGGGTATCTCTGTGCTTCACTCCTTTGCACATTTCTGATGTTTGTATTTCCTGGGCTTTTCTATCCCCTTTTTACACCAGTTAATAGAGAACTGATGGTTTAGTCAATCTGCTATAGTGTTCCAGCCCATTAAAAACTAGTTGCCAATGAATTTTCACTCCTCCAGTTTTAGTAGAAGTTACACATCACTCGTTTTCTGTATTTTTTATTTTGATTCTATATGCTTATGAGGTAAGAACATGTCTCATGCATTCTCCCCTTAAAAGGAATACCTATGCACATAAACAGTTCTCAAAATGTGACAGATTGCTCAGCTGTGCTCTCCTATTGTTGCTCAGTTGTGCTCTGTGCTCAGTCAAGCTGACCTGCTTGGCAAGCAAACATCATAATGATAAGTCACATTATTATCATCAAGGACAAAAGTCTCTTACTAGCTGAATGGAGAGCCATGTGGATTTGCCTGTCCTTCTCTATCAGCCCATGAAGGACATGAGCCTAGCTGCACTGCAGTTTCTCTGGGTGCATGTTATTCAGACTTCAGGACGGACTCTTCTGTCTGCATATAGTTAGATTAATTACTACTTGATGTTTAATTTGAAAAAAAATAGCCAAAACTGTATAAAGACCTTCTATGTAGGCAGAGCAATCTGCACGTAATCCCAGCAGCACTTAAAGATTTTTCATTTTTATTAGCAATATGCTGTTAGTGCCATTAGTTTTTTGTCTCTACCCCCACCCCCACAAACAAACTCAAAAGAATTAAGATAACTCAAGAATTAATTTCCAACAGTAAGAACTCTTAAAAAGATGCTTTTCACCTCACCTTTGTGAAGATCCTCCAGAAGCTGCACTGTGGACAGGTACAGGAGTGCCCATATTTCTTCTTCCTCCAGAGGGCTTCCTTTTGCCCAAAGGACCTCGGCCAATGTCACGCAGGAATTGCTCATGCCTGCTGCAGTAGGTACTGGGTTTTGGACACAGCAAATTAGACTGAACTGCTCAAGACAAGCCCTACTGATCATACCTGTACCTTCTCTCACAGTAAGAAATACTTTGTGAACCACCTCGCTTTCTTTGTTTAGAATAGGCAGGTATTGTTTACCCCTGTCTTAATCTGAGTAAATAAAGGGGGCTGAACTAACTGACTTCCTGTAATCTTTTTGAGCCCTTTTACTCATCATTTTAAACCAGTCAGAAGATTCTGTGGAGAACAAATAGTTTTTACTCAGGAGGTCCTTCATGAATATGTGCTGTTCAGATTTTGTGAGTGGTTATTTGAATGACAGGTGACTGATTTTGCTGCTCAGTTGGATGTTTCTGTCTAGAAAAAACATGACAGAGTTTATCTAAGAAAAAGACAATACAATGCAAAAGGTGTGCTCTGTAATATGAAAAGCTTATTAACAGTGCAACAGAGCAATTAAATTTCATTCCTTGCTCAGCAGACTGATCAGTAAAAGCTGGTAGATTCTTACTACATTCATTGATGAGAGATTTAGATTTTCTTGCTCCATATTTGAGACTCAGTGCTTGCAGTTCATCCCTTCCAATATACATATAAACTTGCTTTGTTTCACTAAACCAAATTAAAAGATTATTCTCTTTTTGAACTACTGAATAGCAATTTAGTGGTTCCCAGCTCACTGTCCTATCTGACAGCTACATAAGACGTAGCAGAAGAATGTGGATCCACACACTCATGCTGTTTTGTCTCAGCTGTAACACAGCTTCAGATCATTTAGAGAAAGGCACTCTGTAGTGAATCATGGTTTCATGTCTTACCTACTGGAAGATTATTTTCATAATCCTACCCAACCAGAAACTGAGTTGTGACTTGAAGGTTCACGGCTGCTTTTCCTTCAAATATTTTGTCATGCTAAATATTCTCAAAGAAGGTTTTGCTCTTCATCAATGAACCTGATCTTTCCATCTAATGAGTTATATATTTCTGTAATTTACTAATCTAGTCAGAGCTGCTCTAGATCTACACATCAGTAAGGAAAACTGAATCCAATGTTCAAATTTCCTAAACATTTTTTAACAGCTTTTGCTATTACTCTTCTGTAACAGCCCCACAGGTTCATTTAATGCTGTGTAAATAGGGGAATAATAAGAAAAGCTAGAAGTGATCCATTTACTGATTTGAGTTTTGACATTGTCTGTAGACCAGCAAGACACTATAGCCTGGGATGGTATTGTCACATATAGGATTGTGTACACTTTACACTACTGTAAAATGAGTTCACTCACGGCCTTAGGACAGATCTTGCCCCCCGCCAGAACTTCTTCACTCTCTGTACACAGCCCACTTACTGCCACTGCTTGCTCTGTGCTGGCAATAGAACTCTTTGTGTCTTACTGCTGGTTGCTTTGCCAAATTCCTGTTCAGTATGGAGTCTTCAAGGGGTAACTGGAAGAGTATCACAGTGTCCAGTAGGACCAGCTTGTTGCTGATTAATAGACTGCTCAGACTTTGCTTCATGGGGTCTTGTCCTGGCTCAGTAGCTTGCAAACAAGGAATCACAACATAGAAAGAATGATCCCTTGTTGCAACCACCACAGGATTATAGATCAACCTAGTGACATTTTAAATGGAACCAGAGTCCTAATTTTAGTCTGTAGTTTCAAAGGGCAGTAAAGCTTCTTACAAATCTAACCTTAATTAGAAGAGACAGACAAATCTTCTTAATCTAAGCCATCACCATTTCTCTTAATAATAAATTACTGTGATAGCATTTCACTTAACCCTGTGGTACTGGGACTAAGCAATAAATTCACATCCCCAGAGCAGAATCTGTGTGGCTTCTCCATACAGGTAATCCACCAGATTGTACTTAGTGCTGTTTTATATAAGACCGTACTGGGAAAGGAAGCACTGCATCCTCTGTTTTAGATAGAAGTGCTTATACCAAGTGATATCAGTGCTGATATTTCTAACTAGCTTAAGTTACTCAGTAAGAAACTACCCAAAGTGCAGATCTTAGAGCTTTATAGAACCAACGTGAAATCAGCAGTTACACCAGAGATGCTTAACTTTTGTAGGGAATGTTTTTTTCTAAGACTAAAAGTAATGTCTCAGATCAATACTAAATATGAATGAAATGAATTCTGCTATCAATTCTATCCAAACTTCTGGAAAAAATATTAGATTGTATGGCCATGGAAATCATAATCTCTTTAACAAATTATTGCTTTAAAACAACGTGGAGTTAAGCAATGTGCTATTTTACAATCAAATTGGCAGCTGGTTTTAAACACACTCCAAATGCTCTGTATCTTTAGGCTGTGTTTTTGACTTCTGATTCTTGAGACCAACATGATGTGATATTTAACAAAGGTCTAACTGCATGAGTGCTTGGGAAAAAAACTATAGCCAGGCTACATTATCTGTATTATAAGAGAGTAAAAGTGCTGGAAAGATATTGTTGTCATTGTAGCACCAGCCATGTTCTGGTCCCTTGGCTTAGTAAAACCTGTGATCCAGAACCAAACAATTCTGACCTTCAAACAACAAACAAGGCAGACAAATGAGAAGGCAAGAAGGAAAAATTGACAGCAACTTTGCAAAAAAGGGACTTTTTTCCAGTAACACTACATATCGAAATTACACTGGATCCAGTTGAGGCTGCAGGGAAAAATTAGAGCAGCAGAGTGTAATCACCCACTTTGGAGTTTGGCCAAGCTATAGAGGTTTGTGACTGGAAAAAATAGCAAAGAGCTTCCAGTGCCAATTTGTGTTTTGAGGTCAAAGGCTGATTTTGCTGATGTCTATGGAAGAAGATAGTACCATCCAAATTAGCCTAAAATATCCTTCCTGTTCTAATCTTTATTCATTTATTCATTATGTGGCCTCTCTAAAGTCAACAGATTTTTCCAACTCTTCTTGCACAGATACGGAAGGTTGTATTGGGGTGAGGCTAACCCATTATTTTGCCAACAACATCTGGCTACTTATCACTTTTTTTTTTTTAATAATTCAATTTGATGCATTTTGTTTATCATATATGCAAGTTTTCATCCATTGAAAACTGGAGTCAATGAAAGAAATGGAATTCATCATAAAAGTTAATGTTCTACACCTTTACATCTGAATTTGACACTTAGCAACAATTGTGCATTACTAATTTAATATAGCAAGGTCACTGTATTTGATTTGGCAATCTTATTTAGTAAAATGTAAAGGAGCAACTTGGCTTTGTTTAATCTTCATCTTTACTTTTGCTATTTTGTTTACTGTGTAAAAAAAGCATAAGAGCTAAAAACTATTACTTTTATAGGAAAACTGACCTTCCCTTATCAAACACAGTCAAGTGCATTAAATATCCTCAAGAGGAATGAGTCAGCTGGATTTCTAACTACATGACAGCCCTTTTCATTCCCACTCATCAGAGGGAATTTACTGGGAAGTAGGTTCAGCTGTACAATACGTTTTATGGCATGAAAGTCAATCTGTCATCTGTACGATGGTGCAAAAAGATGTAACGAGATCATAGGACACACCAGTGAAGAAGATGATGAAGAAGAACAAATCACATCTAGTTTTCGAAAATACAGTCAAGTTTGTTTCTGGTCTACTTGTAAAGGCATGAAGGAAGAACAGATTTGTTCCATCTGGACATACTGAAGAACAACTGGAAATGAGAACTTTGGCAAAACAGTTTGTGTATAAACACAACAACAGCAATTACAACAACAACAAAGGATTAACCTTGGTAGGAGAATCAAGCATTCTGTGAACTGAAAGGGCCTCTGTCAAATCAGAAAGGCCTTTCAATTTTTACTGCCTGGAAGCTGTTTATGCAGAGGTCTTGTCTTTCATGTGACTGAACTTCCAGTTCTGCTTCACTTCTCTGTGTGTATATATTGCAAAATACCTATCTGTAACTCTTAATTTGCTGGAAGGTGTAAACAAATGTAAATTTTGTAAACAATCCTCTCTGGGAAGGCCTATTTACAGTTTGGACATATATGCCCATCCCAGCCACTCTATTAGAGGTAACTAATTGATTTTGACAAGAATGAGCCAGGGAGGAGCCACTTAAGGAGGGGCTCTGAAAGACCTGAGAGGTTGCTAGCTTTGGCCACTAACCTCACTAAAGGAGTGTAGGTGTGTACTGACAGAACAGTGAGAGGGACTTGAAGTGTAATTTCTTTCATTTGCACCACTTTATCCAGGAAAAGTTCCCTCCTCATAACAGTCCATGGAAGCTGGTGTAAACCCACTACACCTGAACACGTATGGAGTTGGCTAATACAGACTGTGCTTAATTTACCTGCAATGCCTGAGTACCTGTCAGTCATTTTCAAGGGCAACTTCAGAGACACGGAATTTCTTCTTTTAGTAGGTATTGAAGGACACACTGATAAAACTACATGCAAGCTTATAAAGAGATGGTCTTTAGGCATTTTTCACTAGACACAGTATTTTCCTTAGCCTTCTATCCCTTTCACAGTTGTACTCCAATTTCTTAGCTATGGCAGACCCTTTCAGGTCTCAGGTGCTACTTGATAGTCTAAAAGCCCCTTAAAAAAGGACCAAACCCAAGGGAGCTCAATCCTCAGAATAGCAAAAGGCAGAACTTCTTGTATTAGTGGCAGCAAGATGCAGTGAGGGAAAAGAAAACTTTCTGAAATAAGGGAATTAACCACAGGACCTCAAATGCTGGTCAGCAAAACTTCAAGCCATCTGCTTTCAAGACGAGGAAATACAGAAACTTGAAGTGACATTTTTCTAGGATGTTGGAGGGCTAATAAGTACTGAAAAGGGGTCCATAGAGACAGATTAACAAGACAGACTTGATAATTCTGAAAGATATCTTAAAATTAAAAGTTACAAGGAAAAGTCATTTTTAGTCAGCATCCTTTTACTTGACCAGAGTGCTGGACAGTGGATTAATTACATATCAAGTAATGTAATTTCTGAACATGCCCAGGTGAGGACCCCCTCCAAGATAAAATCAGTCTGGCTAGCCTATATCATGTTTTTTCCTCTGTGATTCTGCCCATCAAAGACTAATAATAAAAGAGCAACACATTGCTTTGAAGTGCATTATATTTAAGAGCAGGGATATATTTGTATCTTTACATCTTTATGACACAAAAGTTCAG